GGTAGGCACCTTGTCAACATGTACGACAAGCGCCGCCACACCTGGGATGTCAAACAACAGCCAATCACTTGAAATGACAGTAGCAAATAAAATATATCTGTTAAAGAATACGGCTATGCATACATAACTCTTCCTTAACTTAGCATATTAGGTATGTAGGTTAGCAACGAATCCGCGATAAGTACAAAATGTCCAGAATGGACTCAAAAATTCTACAAACGCAATAAACTTAACGTAGATAACCATAATTAGCGTAAGCAACGTGGCCAGTTAATAGAAGATTAGTCAGGTAGGCAGAACGGACCAAATAAATTTGAATGAAATTTATCCAGCTTAAAAGACCTAGTTTAAGTGTAAGTTGGTTTAGCCCAACTGCGGTGAAGATGCATCATGAGTGTAACATCTGCCTCAGCATAGGGCACACGAAGACCCATACAAACGTGCAAAAACAAAACTACGTATGCATTGCGCTTTTGGGGCTAAAGACGTGATGTTGGCCAATCATGTGAAATTCCTTCAGACCATGCGGTTTTGGCTTTCCACTTTTCAGAACTGATGGTTTTGTGAAGTTGATGTACGTTCGTCTTCTGTGAGTGGTTTCTCGTTTGCAATCTAACAAGAAGGCTCAATCAAACCAGGTGCTGCGCATCTTAGCTAGTATGACGACGTTAACACTCATCAGCTCCAGAACTAGGCTGCAGAATAGATTTTGCTTAACAACTGAATTACATGGACTGAATGCTCCAAAGAAACGCTACTTACCATCACGTAGAACACTAATTTTTGCAAGTGCGAATGACCACCTTGATGCATTAAACCTGCCGAAGGAGGTTGTGTGGTTTGGGTCCGCACGTCTCGCTGATCGCTACAGTCGATTCCAAGATCTGGACAATCAAATCCCTTGAGATGAGGCAGCAATTACCAGCCTTAGTTATGCTCAATGTTCAAATAAAAGGCTTGCTTGTAGCTCGGTCCCTAAAATGGTTCGTAAGAACTATACTCTATGGCCATGTGAGATAGGGCATAGGTTCAAAGCAACTGCAGGTACCAAAACGAAGCGGTGATCCATCTTTACGGGTCATCTACGGTCTCAGGTTGCCGCTTCCCACGGTAAAAGATAACCCCGTCCACCTCATTTATGTTGGTTCGTCCTGAAAGAGCCTCCTGCGGGGTAATGTGACCTTTTAATCAGTACGCAAATAGCCCAGTTACGTTGCAGTGATCTCAATAAGATCTAAAGGGGATAAAAACACAAAGAGTCCTCTGTTCATGATCAATCGGCAAGTTGACGTGGTCTGATTCGGCACCGTAATCACTATGGTTATTATTTATATACTTCTCGGTCTCAGTCTTACGGGTGTACACAAAATAAGGTGTCACGTTGGTAAGACAAGTGGTTGGCGAAGTGCAAGTCCCCCATGTTATATGTGTGTCGGCACAGGCCTCCTTCGGCTGTTTGCATGCACCATGACAGGAAAATCCACAGCTATGTGAAACGTGGAGTTCCCTGGGGATAAGTACTGGAACTGCGCCTGTTTCTCGCGCCCATTAACGAGCTTGCTTATTTGTTCGCAACGAATTTCTTAATTTTTGCTGATTTCCTTAAGACGTTGTTGGCGAAAGCCGACGAAAGTGGTCCACATGCACTTCATCGACATTTAGACAACGCCAATTAGTGGTCCTTCCAGAATCGGTGCCAACCTACTTCATTGAAATTAGTGGTAGTCCACATTCGTTCTCAGCAGAACTGCATATATAAACTTTATCACGTCCCACTTGCAGTCACCGAGGTGCGTGACCTTGCGATATTAATTCAGGCAAATTTCGGTTGCTGAAGACGAGCTGAGGAGCGTGAAGACCGGAAACCAAGACGTCGGTCTACGGTGGAGGGCATTCGGAAGTTTAGATCCATCTATCAGTCCGCAAATGTTTACCACACACGTGGGGTCTCATGTAGAATACGCTACCATGGCCTGACATTCACTGCACAAGCAAAATCCCGCAGCACCCGAAACTCTACAGCAAAGTGCCACCAAGCACGTCAAAGAATTTTTCCACCTTCCATATCAACTTAAGCTGGTGACCCTAAGATGCATCATATATGGACTCAATCAGACAGCGATCACGCACCAGGAAAAGTATTGTAACTCCGTTTCATCCTTTCGGCGATCGTGGGCTTTGCGAATTTCATTTGACTCCTTTAAAGCTCGAAGTAGCAACTCGACTTTTGTCAGTCTGTGTTTCCGACCACTGAGCTACAGAGCATGGTAAGAACCGAAACGACAAAGTTGTTAGGTATGATAGACCGCCGCTTACCATCCACTGATTTGCACGTTGTTACCGTGCAAAGGACAGAATACTCCGCTCTTCAATTGCCGAAATTATCTAACTTAGGCCGCAAATTCGCTTGCGGCATTATAAGCAGTGCCGTTTGCGTACTGACTACAGGGGAGCAGTGGGGGTATTTGATTTATATAAGCAGAATTTGATGGAATACGCACTACTGACGATTCCAGGAAGGCTGAAACGCCCGTGTAATGTTTTTCCGAATAGGCGATGGCTGTCTGACGGTGTCTAGTACTGCCATCTATACCAAGCAAATCCCCTCTACTGCTCTTTCATAACAAAGTTACACAGTGGTAATGATTAGTGCTTACGAAGCTAAAAAAACAGTTTCTGAGAAACTCTAACCTCGTCTGCCACCACCTATATCAAGTTAAACACAACACAATTTTAAGACGCTATTAGTTCAGCTTCACAACCGAATAAACCGAGTAAAATAGAGAAATATAGACCGATCTGTTTGACTACGGTATTATCCAAAATTCTCGAGAAGGTTGTGAAAAAGTGTCTGCTGTCGTTCTCCGAATCCATGGATGTATTCACGCCAGCGCAACACGGCTTTACCAAAGGGCGATCCTGCAACACCAACTTAATGCACGCAAACAACCAGTGGGTACGAGCTCTCAACGAACGGAAGGATGTTGACTTGGTGTACATCGACTTTAGTAAGGCGTTTGACAGAGTGAACCACGAGATACTCCTTCGGAAATTGAGGACATACAGAATAGTTGGCACGCTACTTCAGTGGTTACACGAGTTTATTGCGAGACGAAAGTTTAGAGTACAGGTCAATGACTACCTGAAAGACTGGTTCCTACAAACCAGTGGCGTGCCCCAAGGAACTGTGCTTGGGCCAGTATTATTATTTTATTCATACCAACGATCATGCGCAGCAGCTCCAGTCACCATGTGCCCCGTTTGCAAATAAGTTGCAAATCTCCAGCATGACTTAGAGCGACTGTCAACGTGGTCCACTGAAATGCAACTCCCTCTTAACGCAAGCAAGTCGGAATTCACCAGTATCACCAGACGTTCAGCCACTCGATCATACACCTTGGATGGCCAGTTGCTCCATCCCAACACATCTGTCAGAGACTTAGGAGTTCTCTCACGACATGATATGAGATCACTAAAAATACGGAGAAATTGTAACGCTCGACACTTCGTATGCTCTGGGCATTAAAACGCAATTTCTCCACATGGTCTGAAGAAACGGTCCCACTCCTATTCACTTCGCACATTAGACCAATCCTTGAATATGGCGCCCCAGCTTACCATCCGATAACCCAATGGGAAACTGAAAAGCTGAAGAAAATACAGCATATCACAACTAGAATGATACCGAGTCTACAAAAGCTTCCGTATGAAAAAACATTGTGAAAGGCTCGGACTCTACACACTATCCTATCGCCGAGTAAGAATTGACTTTATTATGACCCATCGAGTACTGTACTTGGATCACTTTCCCATACTGCGGCCAATATTTCACCTGCGGGAACCCTGTAACACCCGAGGACACCGTTACAAACTCAGGGTCCCCAACATGAACATAGTATCACATTAGCTTTGTAACGAATGAAAAATCGTAAACTTATGGAATACACTAACTGAAGGATTAATAGAGGCCGATTCTGTGCAGTGTTTTAAAACCAGTATCGACGATTATTTCGGAAACCTATACTTTTGTGAAACGATGCACATGCAATGCCAAAAGAAGACATTGTATGACCGGAACTAATGACACTAGTACAAATTTCTAACCGAACAAGGATAAACGATTAACGGACCAGACACAACTGCTGATGATTCACAACTAAATGTTTTGATTTTTCGTAATTCGATAGAGTTGTACAGAAAACTTTTTACTTGTTCTTAAATACAGTCTCAGTCTCAGAATGTCGCCGGAACTATACCTCTCCGTGTATCAGCCTTGGAACGCCCTCCAAACTGAAGTTATTTCTGACATCCTATCGACTGTTTATAAAGTGCCTTGAGGTTGCTCTGGCCTACATCACGAAATAGATCCTGTGTAAACCGAGATACGATATAACCTGAAAATGACACCTACTACCATACCCCTACAAAACCGATGTAGGCTCTTTTATGGATGCTTCAATATGAACACTAGTGAGCCAACCAGAACGATTTTCTTTACTTTACCATGCGTTGCTTTTCTCCACATCGTGCTTCCTATTCTGGCCATCCTATGGTACTTGTTAAGCCAATGCATTTTCTCGTGCTACACCACGACTCCATTGCTAACAACCATTAGTTGGTTTTGTGTAGGTTCGCCGCAGTTCGACACAGGCCGACAACCACCACAGATCCAGGGAATCGCAAACAGCCGTGTCATCCTACTGGGACTCGTCAGTAGGGCGCACCCACCGGATCCTGCCGGATTCAAACCCACGACCTTACGCTTGCGAGTCAGCGACTTATATCACTGAGCCATGGGCGACGGCAGCGGACTTAATTCATGTTCTCACAAAATTACGGTTGGCGTATGGAACTGCTTACATGCGTGCGTTAATTTATTAACTCGCGCTACTCACGTTAATCTCAGTATCCACTATATCATGACATGGCAAATGTCCGAACTCAGTTGGTCGCAGCATGAGTCAAGGATAGTTCACATGCCTTGTTGTTTTGTTCTACAGCCCGGAGCGGAACCTACTCGCGTGGCCATAAAGACATGCAAAATAGGATGTTTAGCCGAAGAACGCCAAGAATTCATGGAAGAAGCAAGTAAGGGGCAAATTCTTTCTCATTTTCCAGCCAAAAATTATGTACTTTGCATAAGAGGACTCCAGTATTCCAGTATACAATAATCAGAAAACGAGAAGTACATGCATGGAAATATTCTATCATGAAAAACTTATTAAATCCCGTTAGCTCCATTATTGTCCTGCACGATTTAGATCACTTATTACTTAAACGCTGAAAAGCGCATTAAGAAGATGAAGACTGACAAATGCACGCATTTCGTACTGTATCATCAGTGCCTTTAACAATAACTCGCAATAATGTTTACTCAGTGAAGCGTGCGACCAAACATGGTTGGTGGCATCCGGTTTCGGATTTGCCTGTAACTGTGGCCTCTACAGGTACAGCCACAACACGCCAGCACTTACAGAGGGACCATGGGTAGTTTGCACAGTATCACCCACAGTTCCATCCACACAACCCATATCCAGTGTAAACCCGAAGGAATAAGACCGGGAAGCATATGGATGGGAGCCACATTTCATCAACAGAGCCGGCCCACAGTCTTTCACAGGCAAACAGAAACACGCTGTATTTGGGGAACCAGTCGCACACAATGCGGTGGCTGGACCGTATTCCGCCCCAAACTGAGTGCTTGGAACCACACTTGGAGCCTAGCACGACTACAAGGATCGTGCAGTCTGTCCTGTCCAGTAACAACCAACTGTCTCCTGGAGCCAGTTTGGACGAGTTAGTGGGTACTAGACAGGTAGGCACCTTATCAACTTGCACATTAGGCGTAGCCACACCGGGGATATCAAGCAACAGCCAATCACTTGAAACAGCAAGGTGAAAGAAAATAAAGCAGATAATGCATACAAATACGGTGACGTAACTCTTCACTAAGTGAGCGTATAAATTAAATTGGTTACGAACGAATCCGCGATAAGTACAAGACATCAGAAAATATATTTTCAGGAAATGTCACATGCGCGAAAATGTTATCGAAATTAACTACAATTGGCTTAAGCGACGTGTGCAAGTTTATAGCAGATATTTCAGGTAGGCATTTGTATGAGAAAGAGGCATTAGGACAAAATTGAAAACCCACCACCTGAAATAAAAGGAGACTCAGCAGGCAAGCACGTGGTTAGTAAATCGATTGCAGCGTACTTACAAACGCTGCGCCGGTTCTGCCTACGTTCTCTGCAAGACCCGTCGTCAATTCGGTGGTGGTCCCGAGTGACTTAGTTCATGGCCCACTAGGCCTGACTGACTCAGGCACTCGCGACCACAAGTACTACAGCAATATGCGCTCAATGTCGACGGAGCACAACCTATCGGCGCTTGCCGCTTCCGCACTTGTCTCTTCTTCTCGACATGTATGAGGTCGTTATCGCACACCTCGGCAACTGTCTTCACGATTAGATCACGCCATGCACACCGATCAACCACCACCTATTTCCATGACCTGCGACCAAGATTAGCACGTGAGAGACAAACTTTGATCATGTCTAGGTAACGTAACTTTGGTTTGCCCGCATGCCGCTTCCCAATACTCAGCTGACAATATCATAGTTCTTTCGGTATCCGCGTCAAATACATACGGCTCATATGACCGAACCACATCAGGTGTCTCAGCCAAGGTATGCAGTCCACTGCATACATTCCGCTTTGACGCAACACTTCCGTGTCAGCAACTCTGTCACCCCAACCGATGCGCAGAATCCGCCGCAAACACTGCTGATGGAACCGCTCGAGATATCTCACATTCCGTCGGTACATCGTCCACCATTTACTGCCGTATAGAAGAAAGGACAGCACCATGGATTTGTACACCATCAGCTTCTTGCCAGTGGTAAGCTGATGGTTGTTTCAAACTCGGTACTCTAGAATCCCGAAGGCTGCCGCTGGTTTCGAGACGCGGATATGCAGCCCACTGTGTAGCTGCTGGTCAGTCGACATCACACTCCCAAGGTAGCAGAAGCAAGAGGTGGTTTCCAATACTTCAGCACCAATGCTGATTTGCGGCAATATTGAAGATTGCACCATTGTTGAAGGCTGAAAGAGACGGACAGTTTTGCTTGTGTTGATGGTGAGCCCGAATTCGGCCGCTGTCGAAGCCAGAGCACTAGTCATGTGTTGCAACTCATCCGCGCTGTGTGAAAACAACGCACAGTAGTCAGCAAACAGCAACATACGGATAGTTGTCTCACAGACTAGAGTTCTCGCACCGAAACGACGGATGTTCAGCAACGCACCATCAATACGGTGCTCCACACGAACACCGTAAGCACAATCCGCATCAAAAGCACAAGACAGCATTGCATGAAGATATATATTAAACAGGGCAGGAGCTAAGACACAGCCTTGCTTCACACCAGTGACAACTGCAAAGTCATCCGAGGTATCTCCACTCAGCTGCACCCTTGCTCGCATACCACTGTGCAGACATTCAATTAAACTTACAAACTTACGCGGGCAACCAAACTTACCTAACACCAGTCACAATGCCTCGCGGTTCACCGTATCAAATGCTTTGGTGAAATCAACAAAAAGCGAGTAAAATGGCTGCTGTCGTTCTCTGCACTTCTCCAACTGACGAGCCTCAAACACCATAGCTGCAGTGTTGCGACCCGAACGGACACACTGCTCTACCGCCACGTTAGCTTCCACAACCTGACGGACGAGGCGGTTGCGCAGGATTCGGGCAATCATCTTGCAAACACAACTCAGCAAGCTGATGCCACGATAATACGTGGTATATTGCTTGCTCCCCATGCCCCTATACAGTGGTAGCACAAGACATCCTTCAGCTCAGGAAGCACTTCCTTCCCAAACAACACGCGCTGCACCAAGTGGTGCAGCGCAGTCACAAACGCGGGTCTGCCGTGTTTCAATAATTCTGGCGGGATCCCGTCGACAACGACACACTTGCCGCTTCGCAGCTGACAGAGTGCTCTTTGCGTCTCATCCAGTGTCGGCTTGTCCGCCAGACCCGCCTTCACTTCGTGCTGCTTGGGGCCGCTCAATGTAGGCCAGTCGATCTCAGAACGGTTGTTCAAGAGACAGCCAAAGCGCTTGTGCCACATCTGCATTATGTCTGCAGTCTGTGTGCAGGCAGAGGTCGAACTGCCATCGATCAGCTTCCATAGCGGATCCAACCTCGGTCCATACACCGCCTTCAATGAGTCAAAGAATTCCTTGCGTTGGCGGCTTTTGGCGTAGCATTCCAACTGCTTCGCCTTCTCCGTCCAACATGCATTTTAAATGCGACGGAGATCGCGAGTTAGTCTCCGTCGAAGTTTGCGAAACTGGCTATTCTTCCTCAACTCACTAGGGTCTACGGCATGTGCAGCAAATACTGCATTCTTCTCACACACCAGTGCGCCAATCGTTGCATTGATCTCATCAAACCAATCGGGTCACTCACAGTTTGCGCGCCCGGTGGTCTCCGCGGCAGCGGCTTTCATCTGGTCGCGAATATGGTGCCACAAGTCGCGCACTGTGGCTATGCTGTCCACATCACATAGGCGTACAGCCATCGCATTCTCTATCTAAATAGGTTTCTCCACAGTACCGAGGGAGAGAATGTTAAATTTACGTCGATTCACCACGGGCGTGCAATACATAGATTTACGAAAATAAATGTTTATTTTGGTCCACACCAAGTTTTGATCAATGCCACATTCAGCTGCACGCAGTACACATGTCACGTGCACTTCACGCATCTCACGCTGACCTACGATGACATAATCCAGCAGATGGGCGTGACCATTGCGTGGGTGCGTCCAAGTTGCCATATCACTCGCATTCAGTGCAAACCGAGTGTTCGTGATCGTCAGGCCGTGAGTGGCACAGTTGCAGGACGGGCAAATATCCCCGCAAAAACGCGCTAGAAACTCCGGCATAGTAGCTGTGGAAAGCGGGTTTTAATTCCTCCCCACAAAGTAGCAGCGTTCAGTCACCCCAAAATGCGGCCCAACTGCGCACCTGTTGACAAGGTTCTTTTACAAACTACCACCCCGTCGTGGTAGTAATTTTCCCTAACTTAATAACCATTGCATTAGCTATGATTCACCCTTTCTTGGCCGTATAAGAGCCTCCAAATAACCACTTGTCTTGCTGCCTCTTCAGCTTAGTTGGGAGTCCGTCGGTCCCGTGATTTGGTGTGCGTCGATAGTCGGGCAGCGTTCGCGTCTAAGTCACTAGTGCGCGTCTACCGTAACCCCCTCTCGTATGCGTCCGTTCCGAGGGTTCAGCGTCTACCCGAATACGTGCGGTTAGGATCGTTCTCACGCGTGCGCAATTTCTGTCTCATCAGCGCTTACCCCGGGCTAAACTAACGCCATAAGGTTAGCGTAAACCCGTTCGATTGGTCAGGGTTCCAGGCCTTTACGGTAGGCATGCGCCAACCGTGCCAGTGACAGTCTTATCAAGCGTCCCTCAATTATAGCAGACACACAGTGAGAGCAGTTTGTGACCATTCGCATTCGTTGAACCAATGCCATGCGGACCGATAACATGTGTCCACACTGATGCATTACGCCCAACGCGTGCGTTGAAACCACCCTGCAGGAATAGTCGGTCGCTCCTCTGCACAGACCGTAGCACGGAAGATAGCTGATTTTAGATTTGATCACGCATGTCATCAGGATAACATGCTCGGACCGTATGTGCTTATAAAATTGGCAAACTTACCACTTCCGAGTCGTAGGTGAACAGTCATCAGTCGCGCGCTGATGCTAGTTGGTTCACTCACGTGCTGGCCATGGAGCAGGTCGGATATTGCAAATCCGCCCTTATCTTCACGTGGTGATGTGGTGACGTTGTCCACCCAGTAGAAGGTGTACCTAGCGCCTGCTTCATGCAGGTTACCTTGCTCTGGTAGCCGGGCTTTTAGTGAGCGTTGCAATATCGATATGACAGCGCATCAGTTTCATCATGACCAGTGCAGTGCGTCTGTCGGGGTGCGCAGTCCAGTTCCGGTCCAGTAGTGTGCGCACGTTCCAGCGTCCAATGCTGAGTGCTTTGCGCGCAGG